CCCTCCGTCCCTCCCTCCCTCCCTCCCTCCCTCTCAGGATTCCCCTTGTCCAGGAGGATTGGAAGAAGTCTGGAAAAAAAAATGAAAGGACAATGGAGACCTTATAGAAATCTTTGCCCAGGATAAGGGTGATCATAATCTTCAAATAGCCTACTAGGAAGTATTGGAAGGTAGTTGGTGTCAGAGGAGGTGGATAATGTTTACCTGACAGAGACTTCGTAAATCCCCCCCCCCTTTTTTTTTTTTTTTTGGTTTTTTTGGGACAGGGTTTCTCTGTGTAGCTTTGCGCCTTTTCCTGGAACTCACTTGATAGTCCAGGCTGCCTTGAACTCACAGAGATCCACCTGGCTCTGCCTCCCCAGTGCTGGGATTAAAGGCGTGTGCCACCACCACCCGACCAATCTTTCCCCCTCTTAAATATGTGCTGTTCAAAGCTTCTTGACTGCTATCATGCTTTGCTGATGGAAGAGACAGGTATAGACACAGAGAGACAGACAGACACACAGAAAGGATGGACACTGCTAACCCAGCTTTGTTGCTGCCACCTTCCAGGGACAGTTAAATGACAGAGTTAGCTACTCGTGTTTATTTTTGACACTGCAGAGGGTGGCTGGCGAGATGGCTGCCAGTAGTTAGCACAGCACGACCACCTGTAACTCTAGCTCCAAGCAAGGGCTTTGGTACCCTCTTCTGGCTTCCAAGAGCACCTGCATGCATGTGTGCAAAGCCAGACATAGACACATGCACATTTTATGTTCTATTTAAAACATTGTGAAGGCATTTACAACAGGGGACTGGTGTCATAGCGCCCCAGCATCCTGTTCTTGAGGCCCGTGACCTGGGCTACTTAATAACCAGGTGTTTAAGCTCGGCTCCCCCGAGGCAGCAGTCCATATTTAACCCTATGTGGTTACAATTCCCTCTCGGTACATGCCATGTCAGTGAAGGACAGTGTTAAGGTTATAAAAATAAGATCTTTTGAGAGTTATGAATGGGCACTTTATGAATGAGTTTTAATGTGTGAGAATAAGATCTGCAACCTGGGGGATTCTCTTCTCAACACTTTACTTTGCATGTTCAGGTTTCTCCCATTACTGGGGGACTCAAGAAGCATCCTCCTTGTTTGCTTTCACAATTTTTCTGGAGTTCACTGCTTAGGCCAGGCTGGTGGGTCAGAAAGGCCCCGGCATGCACCTGTCTTTGCCTCCTCAGCAGGGGAATACAAGCACACCACCACTTCTAGCTTTAACCTCTAGATTCTGGGGATCATTCTCAGACCTTCATGCTTGCAAAGCAATCACTTTACAGACTGGGCTCTGTCTCCAGTCAGCGCATGAAGTTCTTAAGGCTCTTCCTACCTCTGTGTGCCCTGGGTCCAGAGAAGCCACTGTTCTGTTTGGATAAACCCCAAAGTACAAAGTGCGAAGTTCTCCAAGGACACATATTTACTTAATGTCAGTTCTTAAGACTTCAGGGATATGAGCTGTATTAGTCAGTGTTTTGCAGAGTAACAACTAATAGAATGAATCTCGGCCTGAATGACTTACAGGCTGCAGTCCAGCTAATCCAACAAAGTCCAAGAATCCAGTAGTTGCTCAGTCCACAAGGCTGGATGTCTCAGCTGGTCTTCAGTATGTGCTGGAGTCCCAAAGTATGCTCTAATGTCGGTGAAAGAACGTGTGTGCTAGCAAGGCAAGGGCAAGCAGGCAAAGAGCAAACGCTTCCTTCTTCTACATCCTTCCAGAAGCTATCGCCCAGATTAAAGGCATGTCTTCCCGCCTCAAGACCCAGGTCAAAGGCATCCTGCCTCAGAGGTCTGGACTAGAAGTGGATTCACCTACTTCACACCAATCAAATGGTCTCCTACAGGTGGGCCCTCCATTTCGGGATTGTAGTTCATTCCAGATGTGGTCAAGCTGACAACCAAAAACAGTCATCACAGAAGCTGGAGAGGTAGCTTAGTGGCTACGAGCTCTTACTGCTCTTGCAGGAGACCTAGGTTTGATTCCCAGCGGCCACAGCGTAGCTCACAACTATCGGTAACCCACGTTCCAGGGGTTCTCATACCCTCGGACTTCTGCAAATACCAGGAGTGCACAAGGTGTGCAGGCAGAACAGCCATACACCTGAAATAAAATAAGTAAACCTAAAGAAATATTGAAGCATCCGAGATACAAAGAGGAAGAGGGGAAGCAAACACAAAACCCCTTTAATCACAAGGAGCACACGCTTTTACAGTCCTCTCCCCTCACACCCCTGTGAAAACCTCTCCTACAGCAAACAAGTTCACGACACTTCTGCCTCCATCTCTTAAAACAAGAAAATAAGCTGGGAAGCCGTTATGGAGCGGTGCTGGGCTGGTGGGAAAAGGGACAACTCTTGCATAGCTGCCATCCTCCGGGACAGACAAGGGGTACATTACCAAAGTGATGCAGCAGCCAATATCCCGTGAGCACGGGACTCTGAGTCCTGCAAAGTACTTCCTCCAGAAAGACTCAGGACCTCGGGATGGGATGGCGTGGGGGATTATTATCCCAAAGTTTCCTGGAATTAAGATGCAGAGGAAGGGAGGCAACAGACCTAAATAATCTCTTTTGGGGGACTCTGTCCCAGGGTCTGTATATTGATAACGTGCACAAGAGCGTTTTAAACATGGCTGGAACTGGGCCTCAGCTACATAAAGCAAGTGCATCTGGGCGGTTGCTGACTCGGGAGCCGGGAGCTTCCAAAGCAAGGCTTGGGGAGACCCGAACTAGAGCGTCAGAACTTGCCAGAAAGGAAAGGAAAAGAGGGGAGGGGAGACCGAAGGGGGGAGGAAAG